TACTCTTTACTGTTGGCCAGAAGATGAATTGCATAGTATTACAGTTTTGTTGATAGAAGGTATAACTTGTAAACTGTCACAAAATTTAGCCAAAAAAACAATAACAGCTATAAAAAAATAGAAGAAAGGAAAAAAAGAAAAATATCATGTTGATTACTGACATAATCAATTATCGACAGATTCCTATACTTTGCAAGCTCTTGAAAATTTGATAAAAAAAATAGTGAAAAAAATGATACTAATTATGAAGGAACATATATAAATATAGAAGACAATAATCAATCATGAATAAATTAGATATAAAATTTCAAGTATCTTATTATTTATATCAATAATTTATATTTAAAAAAATTTTTTTTTAATTAACAAGTTTTTAAATTAAAGTAAATATGCTTCAATAAAAATATATATTAACAAAATTTCTGAATCAAATTGAATTAAATCAAGTAAAATTAAATTCAAACCTGGTTCAAGTCAAATTGAATCAAGCTATATTATATCTGATTCAAATTTGAACTGTATATCTAAAAATGAATTGAATCGAATTTAGCTAAAATCTGATTTGATTTGAACTGCCGTGATCCCTACTCAAGAGAAAATAAAGATGAAGAACTAATAACAGGAAGATATTTTAGATAAAAGAGATCAATATAGTAAGCTAAAGTTCCTAGAGATATACAAATTAGTACAATTCTGAGGTGTATGAAGTTAGATAAAAGAGACAATAGTAATTTGTTTTTATAAAGGCTAATTTATTTATTTAATAAAATAAAAGTTCAAATCTATCAATTTCTAAGTGAAACTGGAAACTTTATATACATGTTTAAGTTATATTATTTTTGTACATAATAAATATATACTATGTTAAAAATATAAACTTATTTAATTTTGATACTTTCGGTTCAGTATTGATATTGCAAAGTTTCATATCAAAAATTTTTGGTAATTACCAGTACTAATATCAAAAAATATTTTTGATATCAGTTTTATGAAATACTGTACTGAATAGTACCAATCGAAACTCTAGTTTATAGAATCTCTTCAAAATGCTCTAACATGATCTTAGCAAGTAAAGAGGGATTAAAGATTTTTCTGCTTAAAGAAAAACAAAGATTCTTCTTAATTAATAACATAACTTAATAGCTAAACTCATGATTTCATTAATTAACAAATATCTTCATCAAGACATCAGATCAATTTAAAAAAAGAAGACAATTTGGTTTTACTTGCTGTACAATCCAGAAAAATTCAATCAAAACAATTGGATTTTGAATATAGTGATTGCAACAAAAGATTTTAAAATTTAAATATGTCTTCTTCCATCTTAACAATACTCAAAACTCAATAGGTTTGCTTTTCAAAAATCTTGAAAGACATCACCATTTATATAGCAAATATACTAAATATTAAATTTACCAATCAGCTTCTCAAATTCAACAGTATTATCAAGCTTACTTGATATTAACTTATGTTTTATACAGAAGTCATAATATGTGAACCAAAACCTAGTTGGTTTAAAAATTTTATTAACCTCTTAAATCTCAGAAGATTTTATGGTTCAATTTCTAATTCAAAATCTCTTTTTTGGATTGTCAACCTAAATCGAGTTATAATTAAAACCTATAAATGAATATCTGAAATTAGAAAAAACATGTTACTTAAAGGCAAACACTATTTTTTAGACTAATTTAACAATTTAATTAAGTGCCCAAGCTATCTATTAGACACCTTTTGTAATAACTTTTGCTTTATTTTCTTTACTAGCTTATTCATATTCTCTCTTTAGATATCTACACAAAGTCCTGCACTAAAATTTCGTTTTAATAACTTATTAAAAGAAGTTATAAATACTCCTCAAGCTTAAGAAAAACCACTTCAATATATATATCTTCAACCTAACTTATCAATACTATCTCAACTAATGGAACTGGATTAATTATATCTCTACTCAATTCAATTCCACAAAAATAATATCATAGTTAATAACTACCTTATTATATTCTTTCAATCCAGTACTTCAATCTTCAACATTTTTTTAACTAATTATGATATTATTCAATGGTGTCAAAACTTAATAACTATTAAAATAAAAGACAACAGAAAAATCATCCAAGAAATTCCAAACAATCCAAGAAGAATAATCAAATATAATTACTTTTTTATTACTTCAAGAATTAATAACTTAAGTTCTCAAATATCAATTTTTTTTTTATTTACTAAACTCAAATTAAAACTCAAAACTAATGACATCATATACTGGAACATCTTACCATTTCACTTTTTTGAAATTCAAGAATAAAAAACAGCAATCTGGATAGTAGCATTATATGATCAAAGAAAATTTTAAAATTAATTAAGATCTACATAATATGTGAAAGCATATCAGTAGTGGGAACCTTTGAAGAAACTCTTAGATCTTATGGCTTCGAAGTGTTTATTAAATCTTTCAAATGCATTAGAAATAAATAAAAGCAACTTTTACAATAATTTAATATCTTTTAGAATCAAGCTTTTTTCAGAAACCCTTTTGATTAGAGCCATTCTCAATCAACTATATCCAGAACAATACTCAGATCTCTTCTGTCCAAGGTGTGAACTTAATATCAAAAACATAAGACATGTATTTGAATGCATTGAAGCAGAAGAGTAAACAATCCAAATTATTAATATTATAAATAATATATTTTGCCCTAGTAAAAATAATATTTCAGTTAATTATATTTGGCAGATAGTCAAATTGTTTTATGAAGTTACCAGCAAGATTTTTGTTATAACTGATATTGAAATTAGGTAAAAGTAGCCTCAGAAATATTTATTTTTCTTTACAATCTTATATAAAAATTAAGATGCAATACAACAAACACCTCATTTTCTATAGTTATAATCTAAAATTAGAATCTCCATTAATTTTACAAAAACTCTTCTATCAAGTTCCATTGTTACTCTTGTCAATTCTCAAATTCTAACTTAAAATCAGAAGACACAATTATAGATTTTCCATCTATCATCGCAGATAAATTTATAAATAATAATTTCAATTCATTATTATGTTTAAAAAATTTAATTTCTAATTTTAATCAACTTATTACTAATAACTCTGAGTAAGTATTTATAACTACTCGACACTTTCTATAAAGTGTAGTGATTTTAATATTTATTTTTCTTTACTGCATAATAGATTAATGTAAACAAGCTATTATTAAACTTATTAACTCAATATGTTATATAAGAGATATTATTATTTTCGTTATATAGAAAATCTGAATTTTTTATAATTAATAAAGTAACAATGTTTATCTATCTTAAAATATATATATATATTAATAATGTTTTATATTTTAAATATAAAATTATTTAAAATCCATTTTTTAAAAATATTAGTTCTAATTTCAAAATATTAATAAAATTTAGAAATATTTTTTATTTAAATAATTTATTAAAAATAATTTTTAATTTTTAAATATACTGTATATATATATGCTTAATAAAAATTGATTAGTGATTGATTATTTATGTAAGCTACTATATATTAAAATAAAGTTTAAAATCTAGAGATTATAATAATATAAATTATATATAAAAAATGTTTTAAAATTCTATTAAAATTATTATAATTTTATAAATTTTTATTCAATGAATTTCAAAATTTGTTAATTTAATCTATAGATTTTTTAATTTTTTTAAAAAATTTTTATTTATTTCTTAATTTGTAAATTTTTAAATTTTTAAATTTTAAAACAATTTTTTTAACTTTGTAAATTTAAATAAAATAAATCTAAAAATTGATTAATAATAACAATAATATTATACTTTTATTATAAAAAAGTTTTTTTATTTTTTATTTTACTATTAATTAAAATTTTAAAAATTTTAAAAAAAATTTCAAAAAGTTTTGTAACACACTGTATTTAATCTAATTATTAATAAAAAACAATGTTAAATTTGATAATAATAATTATATTAATTGTTTGAAAAATAAACTATTTATTTTCTTTAAAAAAAAAATTATTAAAAAAAAAAACTAGTTTAAATTTATAACTTATAAAAAGATTATTATTCTTAATATAATTTCTAAATAAAAAATATTAATAATTAAAAAAATAAAAAATAAAAAATAATAATATAAAAAAAAAAGTTTTAAAAAAAATATACTTATATATATAAGTTTATATAAAAAAAATATAAAGAAAAAAAAGCAAAAAAAAATTAAAAAGAAGAAAAGTAAAAATAAATACACAGTGAACCTGGATATAACAAAGAGGTTCAGTTCGTATTTTTTTTCTTTATTATAGCAGATTTTTGTTATATCCAGGTAATTTTATTAGAAAATTTTTAAAATTTTAAAAAAATACTTTATTATATCCAGGTATTCATTATATCCAGACTTCGTTATATCCAGGTTTACTGTGTAATAATTTTTTTAAAAAAATTTTTAAATATAAAAAAGAAAAGTAAAAAAAAAGTTTTTTTAATTTATATTAATTTAAAATTATTTACTTAAACCAATAAATAATAGATTATAATATATTTATTACAACGTATGTATTATCACAATCAATACTTATAAATATTATTTTTAATATATTAAACAAACCATTTTAAAATTTTAATTATAATTTAAAATTTTTGCATTTCAAAATATATTACAAATATTTTTAATGTAATTATATACATTATGTTATACAAAGTATTGCGATGAATATAAACATTTATGGAGATTCTATAATTAGATCAAATAACACATCTGAATGGAAAGTACTGTAGAATACTAATCATTAATTGAGTATTACTAGATATTTTGTTATACAAAAATCGGAGATTTGTAAATGACATTACTAAAACGATTTACAGGAACTGGTTTCCAATAAATCGGAACATTTATTATGTACTTAAATTATTATTTGCGTCACGTGAATGACATGAAGGAGAGCCGACTATTCTAAACAACTTTACTTTGAATTTTTCTAAAGTTCTTTTTTTAAAAAATAAATCCTGTTCATCTATTCTTTAGTATCCTTCCTGATCAGAATCCCATAGGTTCTAACATCTTCTATCATTGGTGAAACCCAAAACCCACCTATTTTTTTGAGTGTCTCTGGTCGGACCCTACACTGAAATAATACCATATATTTTTCGTCCTCATACATAAACTTTGTTGCGTATTTCATCGCTAATTCAATCTTTGGAGTGGTGTAAACGCCTCTTGAAAACCAAAATTTCCCTGAACTTAGCAATGAAGAGAAAAAATAACTTAATGCGCTTAATCGTATCGACTTGGGACCGTTTTTTGGTCCGGGTTGTTTTTTGGAGGCCATGAAGTACGCTGCATCAGCCATATTTTCATCTTTATACTGACTAGTCCCGTAGTATGCTACCACCCATTCGTTGTCTAAGGATACATGTTTCTTGGATCTTTGTTCTTCTCTTCCTAGCCACTTATTATTCACGTTATCACCCTCCTTCGAAATATTATTGTCTCCGAATGTACTTTTATTAGTATAATCTTCAAATTCATCCACAACCTTTAATGCATACCGTTTCCAACCCAACGGGCGTCGATATCTCTTTCCTCCTCTGAAAAACTTTTTCCTGTCATTATTGATTTCTGTAAAGTCCCGATCATACTCGGGGTGTAAATGAGATGAGTTAATATAGCCGATAGAACACTCTGAGTCGGACTTTAGGGCACGCATTTTTATGACTGGAGCATTGTTCCTGACGAAATCATGGGAATCTTCACGAAAGTTTAAAATTGAACCAAAGGTATTAAATTGAGGATATTCAAAAATATACTTGGAGAGAGCGTGGTGGTCAAGGAGAATTTGGCCCATATAATTGAGTTCAATTTGTGAGGTGACTGGAATGGACATACGAATGCGAATAACAGATTTCAAATCTTGGACTGTGGAACTAAGTGGAATGTGAATAGTAAGAAATTGTTCTTGGAGAGAATCTTCTGAGCTTGAGTGAGTTCGTATTATTATCTCTTCGGTGCCGGATTGTGTTTCTGAATAATAGGGATCAATATCTGGAACTGGACCTGTGACCAGGTGGGAAGTATAAATATTTGTTTCATGGAATCTTTGAGATTGAATTGGAGGTGATGCATTGGCAAGAGTCTCGTATTCATGTTGAGAAACAATTTTTGTACCAAATACTGCGGTAAGCGCAGTGGCAATGAGGAGTTGATCGTTCTGTTGAATGGAATTGTTCATTTTAATGCTTCCACAGTTCGATAATGTATATGTAAGGAAGAATATTAAAAAGCGATTCTATTTATATTTTGAAAATGGTAACATTTTGAATGCCTATTTTGTAAATTTGATATTCACTTGTTTTATATCTTTGTGACAAAACGATTTGGAAAAAAAATAAACACACTGCCACTTGTCTTTTTTTGAAAAATAACATGTGTCCATTTAACTAGTGTTTACAATGCACTGTATGCGAATGGAAAAGTGTAAAGTTACTATTAATAATTTATGTTGGTATAAGAGAAAATCAACTTGCACTATGGAATTCTACTCAAAAAAATTTACTTTATTAATTAATTTATTATTATTATTTTAAAGTAAATAAATATTATTTCTTTATTTGTGTATAGCATGGTATACATCTTAAAAGAGACAATATTTTTTATATGTAAAGATTACAATTTTTGACTTTATTTACTCAAATTATTTAAAAATATTGTATAATTATAACTCAAGACTTAATATAAATAAAAAATTTCACAGTATTTATAAATTAATAATTATTAAACTATATAAAATTTTATAAATATATTCTTCAATACTTTAAAACAAGTTTTTTTGTAAGTTACATATAATATGAACTATTTTTGTTTGAAAAAAAATATTTTACTACTTTTAATAATATATATATTATATATTTTAAATTAAATCAACTGTATAGATTATATTAATATAAAGTATTATTTAATTAAATTAAGTAGAATCTCTTTTTACTAATCTTCTAATTATTATTTCAAAATGATATTCAAACTAAAACATATTTGTATTCTTAAGAAAATTTATATACTTTTCATAATACAAACTTTGCAAATCTTAACAAGTGACTTTTTAATTCTCTATTGTCTTGTTTATTTTTTTTAAAAAAATAAAACAAAAAGCTTCTTGTTTTTATTCACCTAAGCTTCAATAGCAAAAAAGAATTTTTCAGAAAAGATAATAATTTATTTGATTTTCTTTTTCTTTTTACTATTGTGATATCAGTATATTTATAAAAAAATAATAATCTGAATGGTTATTAGATACTTTGGTCTCTAGAAATCTTTACAACACAAAACAACTATCTTTCTAATATGTTTTTAAAAAATTTTCAATCTTTTTAAAAAATTTATTTACTTTAATTTGATTTTGGATTTTTAATTATATTAGATTTTTTGAATTTTCATTAATTGAAAATTCAAATTAAATACAGTTGAACCTCGTTATACCGAACTTCGTTATATCGAAGGACTAAGTAAAAACCTGCTATACCGAAGGTAAGTACAGAAACATTTATAGCAAATTTAACCTGTTATATCGGATTTACTAATTGAACCTCGTTATACCGAATTTCTTGAAATTTTTGCCTTATGGTCCCGACCTATTCGTTATAACGAGATTTGACTGTAATAAATATATAAAAAATAAATAAAACAAAATCATATTTTTATCTTTCTTATATATCTTCAATAATATTATCTAATTAAACAGAAAATACAAAATAATAAAATATTTATTTTAATATAAATGAATTTAATATATTTTTTATTTATTTATTTATTTTTTTTTATTCTTCCTTTACAATTTAAAAATACAAATAAGATAGACAGAATATTTTTTTCTTTAGATTTTTTGATTTTAATTTATGATTTGTAGAAAGTTTAAATTATAGTGATTTAAATAAATTATAAATACTTTTGAAATTTTAATTATATAAAATCAGATAAGTAAATATAATATAAAATTTTCATTATATATTCATCAAATATCACAATTCAGTATATTAAAATTTTATATAATTTGATTTATTTATACAAAAGTTATATAAAAATAATTATTATTATGATTTTTTTTTATAACAAATATTAATAAATACTTTATTTATATTTTTTTTTCTAATAATATTTAGATAATAAATATATTTATTCAAATAATATATTTTTAAATTTTTAAAGTTTAATTAAAAATTAAATTAATAAAATAAAATTAATTAAGTTATCATTATTAATTGTAATTAATTCTTGATCAAATAATAGTAGCTCTACTTATAAATTATTATGTCAATATTTTAATTTGTTAATAACTTTTTGATTAGAATTAAAATTATATGTTTTATTAAAGAAGAATTATTTAATATATATCAAATAATATTTTTAATAAATTAATAATAAGAATTTTAAAAATTTTTGAATTTTGAAGATGTTTTTTTAATAGAAATTTTAGCAAATCTTGAATAAATTATTATAATAAAAAGTTTTTTGTCTCTATAATTAAAATTTTTAAATGTTTTTTATCATATAATTATAATTAAATTAAGAATAAGACATTATATTAACAAAATTATTATAAGTATTGATAATTAAATTTTAAATTAATAAGTTAGTTGGATTTTAAAAATATTATATTTCTATATTCAGTAAAACAATAATACAAAAGTCAAATTTTCAAAATATAATAAAAACATATATATATTTGATAAAATCTCAAAATCTGATACTTTAATAATTATTTTTTCATAAAATTGTAAATGTTTAATATTAATTGAAATCTTAAATATCAATCAATATTTCAAAAAATATCAAAACTAATTAATACTTTACCAAAAATTTTATTTTAATATTTTGGTTTTAAAATTTATATCAAAATCAAAATTAATAAATTAGTAAAAATATTTATTAATATTAATTAGAACTTTAATTATAAGTTTACTTTAAATATCTTTAAGTAATATTTAGGTAAACAAGAAATTAAATAGTTAATTCAATTGCAAGTAATGATAAAAAGATGTAATTCCTAATAGAACAAGTAGAAATTTCTATAAATACTTTATTTATTATAAATAAAATATTGTTATTCCAATTAGAGTTTCAAATTGAATATTAAAATGGTATTAACTTGATATTTATATATAGTATATATTGCTTAAATTTATAAATTTTTAATGCAATTGATATAATTATTTGATACAATTAATTAAGTTATTATAAAACATATAAATAATTGAGATATAATATAATTATTTTTAAGAATTTTAAGAATTGAGTCAGTAGCAAATATTTTATGTTACATGTATAATATTTATTATAATTCTGAAAATTAAAATCAAATAGACTTGTATAAACTTATATAAGATTTAAAACATTATTAAAAATAATAATAGGTTATAATATATATATGTGATTCTGAAAATTGGAATCGAACAGAATTATAAGGAATCGTATAAGGTTTGGAACACTATTAAAAATAATAGTAGGGTATATTCCATCTATTAAATTTAATATAAACTTGAGAATCGAATACAGAATCAAAAAGAATTGTTAGGATCCTTAATAATATATATATTATTTTAAATTTTTTTTTCAATATTAGTCAAATGGTTACTGTAGGCAAGTTAGCATTTAACTCATTATACTTGCATATGAGAGATGTTGTTTCTTTCACGATGTATACCTTGATATATACAAACCAAATAAAGAAATGATGTTTATCTATAAAAAAAAAAAAGAATTGAGAATTAAATCAAATTATTAGAATCTTTAATATTAATTTATAATAAATTTAATATATGGATTGTAATTTATTATATTAAACTTATAATAAATCCAGTATCAACTTGATACTAAAATAGTATCATTAAAAACTTAAATTTTAATTTATTTTTTTTTAAACATATCTTCTTTAAATAAAATAGTAAACCAGTTTTTTTAAACAAGCTAATAGAGTTAATTAAAATCTTAACATATTAACTTAAGTTTCTATTATCAGACAAGCTGATAACAACAAGCTAATATATTTAAATAATATAGACTAAACTTAAATATAACTTTATTTACATATATTAAACCCTATATAATATACAAATTATAATATATATAAAGTATCAAATATTAATAAAACAAGGTTCAGCTGATATTTAAAAATAATAAAATAATATAAAAATAATATATAGTATATATAGTATATAGCTGTATTATTATAAAAAGAAATTTGATTAACAATATGATTTCAAATTAAATATGATTTTCAATTATTTATTATATTACTTATAATATGATTTTTAAAAAAATAATGGAATTTAATTTTATTATATATATAATATATAATTTAAATTACTTCAAGTCACATTTAGAAACTTAAACTATTGACAATGTTGTGACTTATAAAGACTTGTTGCTTTTTTTATTTAGTTTGTAGCAATTTATATAAGCATTAATAAGTTAATCAAAGTATTTTAGCAACAGATAAAAAAGAAGAATAAAATAATTTGAAATAAAAGGATTACTTAATGGATTTTTTGTTTCGTCTATTATATACAGTATATTTTTATTTTATAATTTCTTTTAAAAAAAAAAAGTTAAAAAATAAGTAAGTACAGTATAATATATTTTCGATGATCTTATATATTTGCTGATCAATAACGCGTAATATATTTTATTACGTGAGCAATTGAAATTTAACGACAATGTTTAGTACTAGCCTTGATTAAGGTGTCACAAGTATCACAAACATATATAGCCTCGGATTACGTCAATTTCCAACATTTTTTTCTCATGCGCAATATCCTTGTCTTTGTTTTTTGTTTTTGATGCTCAAAATTTTTTCAATTGTACGTCTTATTTGACAATTATGGAAAGCCACGATCATCTCATTAAATATAATGATGATGATTCATCAGTTAGCGTTCCATTCGGTCGTACTGCGGAATGGTACATATCCAAGCATCCCCTATTAAAAAACATTAGACTAAAAGCTCGTAGTCGTCTCAGAACTCCTCAGCTTTTGAAAGAGGGAATTATTACCATAAAGAGGGTTGAAGGAGCAGTCGATTTTGTGGAGTGGACTACAGCAAAGGGAAACGTGAAATCCACGAATCGCATCGATGATATCATTGAACTCACACCAAAAGGCACTGAATTGGTAGAGAAAATCAAGTCAGGAAAAAGCAAGGATAAATTATGTTGGTCTTGGGTCATGTATTGCGCAGGGGATGGTAATACTTGCCAACATTTGTGTGGGGGCATTGGGAAATGCAACCCTGATTGCCCGAATGTTAATTTGCCGAATAATCTAAAAAATAGTAATGACCGACATCGTTGTCGGCTTCGTGTAGTTTCCGAGTCTCGTTTGTCTTGGATTAACACTCCGCATCAATTGCGGGTAAAGATTGATGGTTGGCATATTCCACCTAACGCCTTGATCACACATATTCCACAAGTTACTCGCGTTAATCTTACCCGTTCTGCACGCGATAAAATAATTATTAGTCGTCGGGCAGATCGTTGGACTGCTGATGACGTAAAGACAAAGATTTTGGTATCAAAACAAGGTGCTACAGAAGCTGACCTCAATCAGGTGGTTGTTAAAAATAGAGAAATTTGTAATGCTAAGCAACTTAAGCGTCTCATAGTGCGAGATGATCGTAGAATCCGGGATAATGCTGGTCCTTGGACGGTACTTCAGCATTACATCCAGGATCTTTTAAAACCTCGAGGTCATGTGTTGTATTATCAAAACCCAGATCTATCTGCAGATGAAAATTCTGCCGATCGATATTATCAACTTATTGTGTCTGACGACTATTGGTTGATGAATGGTAGGGATTTTGGACAACATTATTTATGCATCGATGGAAATAACGAATTAAATATGGATCGTGCGACAGTGCTGACAATCGCGGTTGAGACTTTGTCTGGACATTCTACTCCATTAGCATTTGGTAATTTCGAGTCTTTATTATTGAGCTACCTGTCACGCATATAACGGAAAGATTTTTTTATGATTAATTGATTATATATTTGGTTTATATTGTTTAACGGTATAGCATTGAGTAATGGAGATGATAAGGCTCCTGTAAGAATAACAATTTTAGCGATTAGGGAAAATCTACCATGCAAACGTTCCGATTGTAGTCACCCCTGGCGTTACGAGGATCTGCCTAAAAATAAAGGATTCCGAAGAGTTAGGGATTGCTCATCCCTACAGTCTTGGAATCCTATAGCTATGATTGATCAAAACATTCCAATAATGCAAGAAATCACTGATGTTGTACATGGTGTTGTACTTTCTTGGACGTTTATCATGTTAAAATTAGCTGAAAAACTAAGATTTTGGGATGTGCCGAAGTCGCAGAGGTATTTCTTCTAATGTATGGATATTTCGATACTTACTGACACGCGAATATTAAAAAATTTTTTTATTCATCAGATATCCAATTGCATTTGGGTTTAAAATAATCGGAAGGTGTCAGGCAGATGAAGAAACGAAAGATATAACTGAATATTTTAAAAATTTCATTGATTCATTACCGATCACTGCTTCACAAAAATCATTAATCAAGGAAGAATTAGAAATAAATTGGATGAGTGATGTTTGGCGTTCTAAGATTATTGATAGTGGACGTATACCATATGATTCTACAAATGGAAAACCAATGATGATAAATAATCTAACCGAGGGAATTGTTCGTAAAGTTGAAGACAAGCTTGACGGGAAGATGACGCCATTAGCATTTCTCGAACGACTTTTTGGAGTAAAGTTACATAGAGATAGCTTGCATGCAGATAATTCAAGCAGTGGTAATTCTGATCAATCACTATTAGAGTTTTTCAATTCTCAATACATGTTACAGGTATTTTGCTAAGTTATTAATGCCATAAGACGCGTGTGTTTAGTTGATCATCATTAATTTTATTTATTTTCATAGAGAGAGCAAAAAGAACAATCACTACCAAAGGGCGCCCTTCGCCGCTTGAACATTGGTCGCCTTTATTTCCTTTCTTGTCTTGTCGAACCCACAGAAGAGCCTTGTTGTTATTATGTCAGAAAATTTAATGATAACTCCCTAACGTTCACCTCACCATACGACAACAAACAGATACAGTTAGATGCCAACGCTGTGGAGTGTCTACAACCAATTATTAAAAGATATGTTGAACGTCGGAGGATAAATGTTCAAAATGGTTTTTATTTTGCAAACATCAAGACAGGAGAGTGCCTAATGTGTTTCGATTATATTTGGAATGGGAGATTCCAAGATGCTTGTAAACATATTCATGCTGCTCGTATCTACTCCGAATGGCAAAAATGTGGCGACTTGGTAATTTCAGAAACAAAACAAAAGTTAGTCAGCTATTTTAGGGCCAGGGATGACTTATTACCGTCTCAACTTAGCTCTGTGATTTTTCAAGGCACTATTGAAGAAGCCTACTTGGAAATTGTGCGATTATATCATATTAATGGTAGGTCTTTTCCTTTGAATTCCATCCACATCCACATTCACCACATTTTGATTTTTGTGTTTCAGTTTTAATCATGAGTATATTATTTAGGTGATAAGATGTTCGACCAACTCTCTCAGTCTGATTCATGCAGAGATCCCTTCCGCAATTTCAAAACAAAAAGGAGAAGCTCGATAAAACCTGGCGGTCCCACCAAGCCATACAAAAGAAAAAAAACAATCGATAATAATAAATCCAACATATTGGTAATAGATGATGAAAAATAGTCACTTGAATTATCTTTGTATTTCATTCGATTCCACCACATCTATTTAATCGTATCTGCACCCTCATTTCCTGATATGTAAATAATCGATAGTGAATTTGTAAATTATGTTAGATAATATCTGAATCAAGTACATCCAGAAATTGGTTCATCTTTAAATCTTAAAAATCTCATCAGAACAAATTTCAATGGCTTTGCTTCTTGAATAATTTGTCATTAAAAAGCACTTGAGATGATCGGTAACGAGTTCTGTCAGAGTTTTTTTGCGAGATTCTATTGCGACAATTCTGATCAACGTTGGTTACTTACAAAGGGCTAGCATTAAATCATGAGAATGATAGCAACTTTGGACTATTACAAAGATTGATATATCATACATAATACACCTGATTAAAAACATTAAATTTTTTAGAGATATTTCCCAAAATAGAAATTTAATAGGATCATACTTTTATAGTTCGAGTTTTGAACTAAGCTCAAATTAATATACATGTACATATATAGTAATTAAAACTAAAATTTTCAAAAATAATGATATTTGATTTTATATTTAATTTATATTAAATTGTAGAAATAGAGTCAACATTTTTAAAATTTTATTGTTAATAAAACAAATTATATTTTATATTTGTAACAATTAAAGAAAATTGTATTTATCAAAAAATATCTTTAATTAATAATTATTAATAATAGTTTAGATTATTATTGATATATGTATAATAACTTTGCTAATTATTAGCAATTAAGATATTGTTTTTTTTTTTATAATCAAACAAGTATTTATAAAATTTATTTAATCTTAATATAGAATATATAATAATTTAATTACTTTTATATACAAACTTTTTAAATATAATATTTGATTATCTGTTTTAAATAAAATTATATTTAGATATAATTTTGAAAATAAGACCTATGGGTCTATAGCACAGTGATTAATGCTTTACAGATCAGATTATAAGATACCAGTTTAACTTCAGGTGAAGACAGTTGAATAGAATAAATATGATATCTGGCACTATAACCTGTCAAGTGTCATTTCTCATATATAAGCTGATTCACATGCAGATCGTGCAAGCAATGAGATTGTAACTATCAAGAAAAAGATGAAGTGATGTGACGATTATCTGGTTGGTGATATTAATAATTGCCAGAAGTAGCAAGAAATGTATAGATACTGGTTTTAATAAGAATAAAAAGAATTGATAATTGTTTTCTTATAGGTATCAAGGCATTTCTTCTATGAAAAGTTTCTTCCAATCCAGTAATACATTGGCTTGCTAGTTATTTATCCTAGAAAAACAACCAAAAAAGCAGAAAGATTTTATATTCTTGAGTAACTAAAAGAAGATAGTAATTATAAATAGAAATGAAATTAGTATTAAAACAAAAAAATAAAAAAAGTCAATACTTGAGTAAGCAAGCAAGATAACAGATTATACCCAGATAGTTTAGGCTTGTAAGTAGATTCTAGTTAATATAAGATTAATATAATATAGAAAATTTAGATATATTATATATATAATAAAAAATTATTTATATTAATAAAACTAGTGTTGTCTTATCTTAATATTAAAAAAAAAATTATGGAAATAAATAAAATTGCTTATTTTAGTATATTTGTTTCAAAGTATATATATATATTTTTTTCAATTAGTGAGACCTTGCCCAATATACTTTATTTAGTTTACATATATATTTCTTGTTACAAAATTTACTATCTATAAACTATTCTAGATATATGTTTTGCTATATCGATTAACTCCATATCGGCTTGTTACTATTGACTTATCTTATGGTATGTGTTAAGTCTAATATGCCAAGGCTTCATTAGTATTGTTATTATATGAAAAATAATAAAAATTGAAATTAATTATGTTTTTTTCCTGGTCTAACCAGTTCTCTATAAGTTTTTCTTGTAATCTTCTTGTTTTTTCTGTTTTTTTGAAAGGAAATATATGCTGTCTTGTGTCTGTATCTTGAATATCAACTTGGAGTCTTTGTTTTTTTCTTTTTTTTTTCTTCTGCTTATATTTTCTTCTTTTTTCCATTGCTGAAAACCTTTGCATCTGTGAGTCCAGAGTTTTTGAAGTTCCTTTGTCATTCTGTTTGTGACTGTTCTTAGTATGTCTTTGATTTTTTTTCTATTAATTTGTTTCACCAGCTCAGTTAGGTCCTTTTTGTAGATTCCCTTGATTATGTACCTGATGGTTTTTCTAAGTCATTAATAATAGATTCAAATTGTTTTCTCCAATTTATTCTTCATTCTTGTATTTCTATTCTGCTTGCTATTTCTTCTTTTAGTATTTGCAGGTATATAGTTTTGATTTCATCTCTGTAGTGTTCACTGAATACAGGTTCTGTAATTTCCCATTTGTTGCACTAAAGGCATATTTTGTCCTTGTATATGTCTGGTCTCCTCTCATTTAGCTTGTCTTTGGTGGGGAGCTCTTTATTAAGCAATTTGTATCTGAATCCTCTGTTGTTGTGATCTTGTTAATTGATATGGAAACTTGTAATCTTTAATGGTAACAGGCTTGCTCATATTCTTCTCCAATATATTATTTTTTCATCACCTATACTTAGACATACTTTGTATCTTATTTGTGTTATCCATATACTGATCCATTTGCTGTTTTGCCATTGCTTCATGAATCTATTGATTCCTATGTCGAAATCTTTACCATTCCATTGCAGTATTCTTACCATTTCTTTTATATGTTGACAGTTTATGCCTATAATATATATATGGTCTAACTTATTGCCTTCTTTTGCTAGCTGATCTGCGCAATCATTATATTTTCCCTGTATGTACTTTGATCTTTTTCAATATTGTTGTTGCTATTCTGTCTCTGATCTTCTCATGAATGAGAGTTGTTATAAGTATATTTGTTCTTTTTGCCATTCTTTGTTTCACTATGATTTCTAATTGTATCACCTGAATTACATACTGACTGTCTATAAATATAGTTACTTCTGTTTTCAAATTGAAAAATATTATTGCTATAAGTATTGCCATTAACTCTGCTCTTATAGATGATAGAAATCTTTCGCATCTGCCTTTGAATTCTATTTCTTTGAGTGTTTCTTTGTTAATGATTATATATCCTACCTTCATTTTTATCTAATTGTTGTTATACTTTTCTATGGATCCATCTGTATATACTTCTGTGAGTTTTCAATCTTGTATATGTTCCTGAATATGTTCAAGTTCTTGTTGAATTGAACTCTGCAATTATAGTGTCTTTAGATTCAATGTGTTTGTTATTAGTTTGTTGCTGCTATTGTTGATTTCTATGTGAATCACATTCTCCTCCTCCAGTGTTAAATTGCTTTACTTGTACATCTCTTTAATTGAGTTTGGTGAAGTTTGTATTTGTGGAAGATTTCCTATTATCTGGTTAAAGGTTTTGAACTAGTTTTTGTTGTTTTGACTGAAAGTATAATCACCTTTTTTAATTATATTCTTCTGATGCATGTGTTTGTTTTTCCCTCTGTGTCCATATTGCATCCTTTGCATTTTTCAATTGGTGAGTCATCTCCTATTTGTGTAAAGTGCTATGTTTTGAATGAGTTTTCTAGGACCTTAGTTTATTTGTTTACTTTTTCTATATATATACTTTGCTTAATGATTGCAGAGATATATCTGTGTTTTCAAATGTTCTCTTGATTTGCCAGGTCACAGGTGGCAAATATGTTTATTGTTATCTTGAAAGGAAAGATATTATTGTACTCTTGTTATTGTATAATCTCCTTAAACCAATTGGATTTATGTTCTATGTATTTAGCTCTTGTCCTGATTTTGAAGTGTGTTTATATAATAAAATATGAATTGGTAGTATTCATTATTTGTTCCATGTAAAAGAATTATATTTTCTTAGGTTGGTTTTGTTCTTGTCATATAATTTGTATATCATATGTTCTTTAATCAGTATCCAGTTGTTCTGAGATAGTAGTGATATTAATTTGTATGTTGCTGTTAACCTTATCTGAAGATTGTTTAATTTTAGTATATTTAGGATCTGTGCTGTCAGATTTCTGCGTGAAGCCATTGTGGTACTATATTCAGTCTGCAAGATATCTTTGGTGGTCCATGTCCAGTTTTGTAGATACTGTAACCTTGTTCTTGTGATTTGTCCTGTGATATTCATCTCATTGAAATCTTGGAGCCATCTTGTGGTTATTAATTTAATTTGTCTGTCATATATGTTGAAGATTTTATATCCTGTGTGGAGATGGATTTCACTGTTGATTGCTGTTGTTGGGAGAGCTAGTTTATGCTTGAAAAGCACTATGATTTTACTGTTGATTGTGTTGCATTCTTGTTGGAAAAGGATTGTATCCTGAATTAGATATTCTAATGCTGGGGTAAACACTTGATTGATAATATATCTGCATTGTTTATGATTTTTTTGGATTGTAGTTGTCTTATCATAAAGATTGTTTTGTTCTTTATTAGTTGTTTTTAATGTCTTTTGGATTTTGAGCTTGTTATCTATATGCCCAAGATTCTGATTGCTGTTTTTTTGCTGTGCAAAGATTGGCTTTGCTTGAAATTGGATGATTGGTTGTTGAGTATTGTTAATAGTTAGCAGTATTGATTTGTTAGGATTGATCCTTAAGCCTACAATGTTTGTGTAGCTGTTTACCAAATTTGCAATCTTCTGCATGTTTTTCTTTGAATTAGTGAACCATGTTGTATCATTCATATATGAAACTGATAATATGTATAAAATGTGTCTGTTCCATTGTTCAAAACATGTAGTGAATGTTTTTGAATCCATTTTGTAACCTAATTTTGATTTTTCTATTTTTGTGATAAGTGGATTGTAGTAAATGCATCAGAGAAAAAGAAATATTGTGTCACCTTGATCTATTCCTTGTGCAATCTAAAAGAGTTCAGTAAGTCCGTGCTGTATGATTACCTGGGTGGTTTGCTTTGTGATGCAATTCATGATTATTTCTTGAATAGAATATGGA